CTCTCTCGAGTGCTCAGGCTATCCGTCGTGCCACGGCTCCAGTATCCCCGCGGCTGCTCGCACCTCGTGCACTGCTGGAATCACAACCGGTCCTACCTACAGGTAACCCTCCACCAGGAGGCAACGACTCAGAGAGGAGTCCTTAAATCAACCCCTTTTATAATATACACGTCTCGCGGATATATGTAGTACAAAAACCAAGAATTCGGCTGACGAAGATGTGTAACGGATCGCGCTGCATAACCATGACTATCCAGAGCACCCGGGCGGACATGTTGGTTGAGAGAACTGCGCACACGCGCCCCCAGCTCTTCTCGCATACTCGCCACGGCTCTCCAGACTATGCTGAATCAATTTTTCTGCCGGACCGAGGTCGATTTTCGAGTTATTTTTCGTCTCTTCATTTTTTTTTTTCTTTTTTGAGAAATTCTTGATATTCTTGAAAATTTTTTGTTGAAAAATGATCAATCAAAACGAAGTTGCGAATGGAAAAATGGAATATTTTAATAAGATTTTCTTTTTATTTTTTCTATCTTTTTTTGATTTTTTTTTCTTTTTCTTAGAATTTTGTTTTCTTTTCTGAGAAAATAAAAAAGTCAATCAACAACGAACCTGTAAAAAAAAATGAAATTTTTTTATTAGATAATAGAGAAAAGGCGTTGTAATAGCAATTAGCGTTTGAATATGATTATTTCATTGAATTTAGTGGATTTATTGATTCTTGTGGATGTTAGTTGATTGAACGATTTTTTGATTTTTTTTCCTAACTTGATGCAACAGGTTATTTGAATGCTTTCTGCGAATTCTTTGTTTTTAAATCAGTTCAGTTCTATTTAAATAAAATTTTAAATATATTCTTTCTGCGATGAATATGATGATGTATGATTTTTGTAGCAATTATATGAAGCTATTGAGATAGTTATATAAAGTTAAATTTCTTATATCAAACAATTCTTTCAACTGACTTACAGAAGTAAATATATTTAATATCAAGTATTAATTAATCTGACATATTCTTGGTACATATATATTATCTTATATTATGTACAAGTTATGATTTAAACATGAAAACCATAATTTTTTTTCATAATTCAAATAATATCAGTTATTTGAATAAAATTTTTTATTAAAATATATCAATATAATAATTTATATTATTAAAGTTTATATTATTATTATTTATATTATTAAAATTATATATAATAATAGAAAAAGAAATATTTGCATTGATCCTTGTATGTATTTTTTTACATTAAATTTCAATCTATAAAATTTTTTCCATTGCATATAATTTTTGTTTAACATTGATTGAAATATTAAATATTAACAAGGTAATTTATGAATTCAATATTATTAATTATAAAGCAAAGATCAAAAATAAATTATGAAGCAAAAGAATCCAAATAACAAATATTCATTTAATAAATTTAATATAGTATTCATAGAGTTTAAGAAAGAAATGGACAAAGAAATTTGGACAGCAAAAGAAAAAGTAATTTCTTTATGAAAATATAAATTGACCTAGTAAATTGATTCTATATCACTGTGCGACGAGTTCTGACTTTTTCTAGTCGTTCTTTGGCTATCGAACCCTCGCATGCAGATGTTCAAAATTTTTCCTTTCTTCTATTCTTTCTGAACAACAATAATGACAAAAATATATATATATATATATTGCATAATATAAGATTTATAAATTATGAATTAAAAATGTTATTGACAATTGTTTTATGAAAAATAAACAACAAATATTAATATATTTTTTATTATTAAAATTTGTAATAAAAATAATCGCAATTTTAGATGTTTTTTTAGATTTTTTTCATTTACTAAATAACTTATGAAAAATACTGAAGAAAAATTGAGAATGATTTAGGAAAGTAGATAATACTTTCTAAATTTTCGTTCGATCAATGTCAATTCGTTTCCCTTTCGATTAATTCTTAAATAGAAAAATTACCTCTCATCCTTGGATATTCTCATGAAAAGAAGGGAATAGAAATCTGATTATCGAAGAAATTCATTCCAGTGATTCACAAAGCTCTGATATTCCAATGTTAAATCGTTTTCTCTTCATTGTGATTTTCATCATCAAGCCTAAACCTTCTATTTCCGATTCGATTATACTGGTTTGAATTGAATGGAAACTACTTAGTGTTAAAAACACTTGCCAAAAAGACAAAATGATTTTGTCAATTCAAGTTAGATTCTCTTTAATAGATTCATAAATTTTAGTACGATTTTTAACATCTACAAAGCATTACATTTTATTAAATTCCTTTCAATTGAAAATTCAAAATAAAATGATAACTTATCTTTTTTTTTTTTCTTCTTAGAAAAAATCTTCAAAATGAAAATGTTTTTATATATGATTTAATGAAAGTTAAAAATACTAATTTATTCTTTAATCTATATTTTCCTCATTTTTAATTTTCTTAATTTAATATCCAAATTTAGTTTTCAATTCTCCTCTTTTCCTAGTTTTCTTTTTAAACTATTTCTTATGTTTTCTTTTCTTTTTAAAATTCTTCCATTTCTTTTTTGCAGATTATCAATAAAATAAAATTTATGATATTCAATTTTTACAGTATCAATCTCAACGTTCTTCTTGGAAAATATCTTTATTCTTTAAACATTTTTTTTCTCTTGATTTGAGTTAATTTAAGAGAAAGAATTGAGTTAATAATTCTCAATGTTATGCCGGCCCTGCTACTCGACCTGGAGTACGATGCTGTGATTGGACGGTATTTGAATGAATGCCATCCGGCATTCACACCTTTTTTCAGTTCCTTCCTTTCAGCTGCGACCCCGTGCACCGTGAAATCCCCGATATGTACTCGAGGGTTACGGTAGCTGACACGCAAGCAGTATGAACGTGTGCTTTTCACGTCACGCACACGAGCCACCAGGACCGTATCAATTCCCTTGGTAATCCTGATTTTATATATAAGATATGGATAAAAAAAAACATAGAATGTTTTTCGTGTTTAATTAATAGTTCTTTATTCTTAATTCAAACACGATCAATAACTTGTGATTCATAATATTGTTAATTATTATCACGAATGGAAATCGATATCTAAAGCCTAATCTTTTGAAAAAAATAATGAATATATTCAGAAGATATTATTTCAATCTCAATATTATACTTACATCAGAAATAAAGAATAATTCGGTTATTTACTATAATCATATTATTATTATCATTTATTATTATCATATAATATCATTATACTCATTTCTCATTTTTTTATCTGTGTTGTTTCTATATTTTCATCATATCATTTCTCTAAGAGAGATTTGCATCGTTAAAAATTAATCGTTGTTCATCTCGAAAAGTATATCAAATATCTCAATTGATCAATTATTACATTCATCAAGCACATTCTCCTGATTGATTCATATTCTTCATATTATCGTCTAATTTGACATTTTACTAGACATAAATAAGATTTTATTAAATTAATTTTCTAAAAGTAGAAATTTCTAAAGAAATATTGTAATATTAAAAAAAATTTATTTTAATCATTTACATTGAAAGTTAAAAAAATAAAAAGGAAAAAATGAAAATATTGAAAAATAAAATTATAATTACTTCAGAACTAATAAAATACTTACATTTTACTTGCAGCAAAATTAGCTTATAATATTTCCCTTAAATTAATCAAGATTATAAGATCGTTTAAATCTTCAACATGTTCAAGTATATATTTTTAAATTAAATCAAATTGAAAGATATAAAATTTTTATTATGGAAATATCTGATTATGATCAAAAATAAAAATTCTATTCCAAGAAAAAATTTGTCCAAATTATTGTAAATCTAATTAGAATCTTAATCAGAAACTTATAATTTAAATATATACACATATATATATATGTATATGTTAAAAAATTATTCTAAAAATGAAAGAATTAAAAATTAAATATTTTCCTTTCTTTAACTTCCTTTTTGAAGAAATACTTGACTAGATACCGTCCTGATACGCATGATCTAGATGAGCGTGCAGCTTTCATATGAATAACAACAGCAACGACAACGCCGTCGACGAGGACGAGGACGACCGAGAACGCATTACCCCTACCATTACGTACTACGAAATACTACGTTCTGTGATGCGGTGCAATTAAGCCAGTAACCCCTCACCCTTTCACATCCTACATCCTCTTCGCCCCCTCCAATAGACTTCGGACTCACAGAGGCGCAAGTCCGTCTCTTCTTTTACCATTTCTACCGCAGCTGACATTTATCCATTCGTTCATTCATCAGATCACATGTCTTTAACCAGTCGTTTGAATCAAGTTACCATGTCGATTCTTTAAACAGAATTTAGATTAAAATTCTAATTATTCAATTTTATATAATCTTTTATTGAATACTAATAACATGAAGAATCTATTGTTTTAAAATGTCTTCCAATCTTTCTTGAGTAATAACATTTCTTATAGTGTTCAAATAAATTACTTCATACTTCCCATATAAGATAAAGAAAATTTCTAAAACTAATACCGCTCACAGAATACTATATATTATTTGAATATTTGTCAATTATGACAAAAAAATTATTTTGATACTTCTATAAATATAATTAAATAAATAAGTGTCAAAAATTATTTGAAGATAACAGTAATGATTAATTGATATTATTATTATTAATATTATATTGTCTAATAAATATATCAATACAAAAAACTTTTTACTATTTTTGTAATTATTAAACTTTTTTTAATAAAAAAAGTTTATAAATAAAAACTTACTGCATTAT